ATATTAAACAGTATCATAATGAAGTCATGAGGAATATAAAAGTATGCTTTATTCTAATCTAAATTCAGGGAATGATATCATTTGATGTCTTAACTAAACTCTGATTTCCTCTCTCCATCATTATTATTACTGTATTATATCGCAACCAAAACGTATTGGTTGTTTTTCGTAGTTTACATTTCCTAAATTGCCAATCACAAGTTGACACTCTTCACAAAGCATGCAAAGCTCGTCTCTGCATTTAAAAATGTATCGTCAATTGCATTTGACCAATTAGGAATCCCGTTAAATTGCACCAAAGGAAGGACAAGAAGCAGGGGAGTTTTTCTTTATATAAACCGTCGGTTTATCATTGCTACTACAGACAGAGGGAGGGTGCCAGGTAAATAAACCAGTCCTCATATTTGCATTCTCTTGTTACCGTGAACAACCCGGCCTCAATGCCACTATTTAGGAACGAACACAGCAAGCCTTCAAAACTGAAGCATAAATTCAAACCGCGAATTCCAAATTTGAAGTCACTTTACAACAAAGCATTCGGTCGTCAAACATGTGTGCCTACACCTCGTCCCGCTTCAGAATGCTATCAATCTACCGCTCGATTAATAGCAAGTTCCAACCCACCACCACCATTACCTTCTGACATTCTTTATTATATATTCTCAATGATGGTAGAAAAGAATCTAAAGACGCTCAATACTTGTATATTGGTAAATAAATCATGGTGCGAACATGCTTTACCTATATTCTGGAGAGAGCCGTTTAGAGGAGGAGAACCGATCTGCGTATCTGTAGTTGACAATTACATTGGATGTTTGTCTGACGAAGAAAGGGAAGTGTTAGAAGAATGTGGAATACGGTTGAGGACCTACAAGGGACGTTCATCATGTATTAATTATGCGCAATATTTGAGATACTTGAGTATGGCTGACTTGTATACTGTCGTGCGAGCTTGGACAGATCGAACGCAAATTAGAAGGTAATTAATTGAAAGATCCGGATCGTAGTAAACGTTGCTTGGTATCTGACTTGTGCTCTTCTATTTTTCCCCGTTAAAAAGATCTCGTAGACACAGCCGCAATACGTATTCCACGTACACACTTGCTCTTAATCTCGGCCAAATGTTATGCAAACTCTTTCTAAGCGATCGAGCAAACATTTTATCGCTCTCCCTTGATTGGGGCCGTGGATATCCATCTTGGCTATATGCTGGCGGATTAACGCCCAACCTCACGCATCTCCGTAGACTTTCCATACACCACATTAATGAGTGGTCAATATTCTCGCACTTGGCCAATTATGCAGTAAATATCCAAGATCTTGAAATTCTTGATTATTCATTATCATCTCCTGCACTACATAGTGAAGAAGTTAGCCTCGCCAAGTTCATTGAATGCCAAAATAGATTGACTAAATTCAAATTGTTTGGATATGGGACACATCCGACAATGATTCCGTGGTCATTGAGGAGTCAGGCAAAGACGTTGAAGTCGGTGGAGATTATTCATATAAATTTTCTTTCCGATGAAAAGAAAGGGCCGTCGTTGGAAGGGTTGGTTGATTGTGTGTGTTTGGAAGAGTTGTGCATACGGTTCTGCACGGATGCCAAGAGAGATCACTTGTTACCCTTGCACGGTGCAACATTTCCTTATTTGAAGAAACTGCACTTTGTTGAGTGCACTACTGTTGCATGGGAAGAGTTGATGATATCATTAATTATAACAAATGCGAGTACTTTAGAAGAAGTATTATTCAAGC